TCCAGTTTTGGTCACCGCGATGTAAAAAAGATGTTGAGACTCTACAAAGAGTACAGAGAAGAGCAACAAAGATGATCAGGGGACTGGAGGCTAAGACATATAAGGAACGGTTGCGGGAATTGGGTATGTCTAGTTTAATGAAGAGAAGGACGAGGGGGGACATGATAGCAGTCTTCCAGTATCTCAGGGGCTGCCCCAAAGAAGAGGGAGTCAAGCTATTCTCCAAAGCGCCTGAAGGGAGGACAAGAAGCAACGGATGGAAACTAATCAAGGAGAGAAGCAACCTAGAACTAAGGAGGAATTTCCTGACAATCAGAACAATTAACCAGTGGAACAACCTGCCTCCAGAAGTGGTGAATGCTCCAACACTGGAAGTTTTTAAGAAGAGACTGGACGGCCATTTGTCTGAAATTGTATAGGGTTTCCTGCCTGAGCAGAGGGTTGGACTAGATGTCCTCCAAGGCCCCTTCCAACTTTATTATTATTGTTGTTATTATTATTGTTGTTGTTGTTGTTGTTGTTGTTATTATTATTATTATTATTATTATTATTATTATTATTATTATTATTATTATTATTATTATTATTATTATTAAAGTACAGATAGTCCTCGGCTTACAGCAGTCCATTTAGTGACCATTCAAAGTTACAACGGCACTGAAGAAAGGTGACTTATGACTGTTTTTCATAGTTACGACCTTTGCAACAACCCCCAGGCTCACGGGATCAAAATTCAGAGACACTTGGCAACTGACTCACGTTTATGACAGTCGCCGTAGTCTGGGGCCACGTGTTCCCCTTTTGCCACCTTCTAATAAGCCCTGCAAAGGTTGTCAAAGTGAGGCTCGGTTGCCAAGTTACTTTTATCAGCATCATGACTGTGTGAGGCAGTTGCTAAGTGAGGACTATCTGTAACAACAACAAAATAGAAGATCCTCATAGTTTTTACGGTTTAATGCCAGGGTGAAATCACTGTAGGGGAATTAACCAGGTTAAAAACTGGCATGAGTTAAATACTCCTTTTATTCAGTAAAAGTTCTCCTTTTATTGCCAACTGAGAACATTTGCCATGAAATTCCAGTTTCCATCGCTGAAGATGACTTACACACAATCACACTGATTTTGCACTGGCCACCAAGTATCCCGCCAGGTAATTCAGCTTAACAGCTGTCTTGGCATATGTCCAGAACTTATTTTCATTTCATTTCAATGAAATTTAATTGTTGAATCATAATGGACCAAGAATTACTTTAAACTGCAATATAAATGTGAATGAAGCATGATTTAAAGGCAGACTCCACTCGCCCTGTAAAATTATGACAGGTGTCGTTTTCTTGAGGGCTTCTTCTTCTGAGGAAGTTCTGGATCTTGAGAACTTAAAAAGATAATTTCTTGTGCTATAGCGACATCTAGTGGCTGGTGCATCAAACAGTTTCTTCCCTTCTGGCCAAGGTTTCTTTGATGTGCTGGTTTATTCTATTCTATTCTATTCTATTCTATTCTATTCTATTCTATTCTATTCTATTCTATTCTATTCTATTCTATTCTAGATCCAATATCTATTCTATTCTATTCTATTTCATATATTTTCTATTCTATTATATTCTACTTTATTTCTATTTTATTTTTTTATTTTATTACTATTTTATTTCATTTCATTTCTATTTCATTTCTATTTTATTTTATTATTTCTATTTTATTTTACTTTATTTCTATTTTATTATATCATTTTATTTTATTATTTTATTTTATTTTATTATTTCTATTTATTTTACTTTATTTCTATTTTATTTTATTTTATTATTTTATTTTATTTTATTTCTATTTTATTTTATTATATCTATTTTATTTTATTATTTTATTTCTATTTTATTTCATTTCATTTCTATTATTTTATTTTATTATTTCTATTTTATTTTACTTTATTTCTATTTTATTGTATTTTATTATTTTATTTTATTTTATTTCTATTTTATTTTATTACATCTATTTTATTTTACTTTATTTCTATTTTATTTTATTATATCTATTTTATTTTATTATTTTATTTCTATTTTATTTCATTTCATTTCTATTTCATTTTTATTTTATTTTATTATTTCTATTTTATTTTACTTTATTTCTATTTTATTGTATTTTATTATTTTATTTTATTCTATTCTATTTTACTTTATTTCTATTTTATTTTATTACATCTATTTTATTTTATTTTATTATTTTATTTCTATTTCATTTGATTTCTATTTCATTTCTATTTCATTTTATTATTTCTATTTTATTTTATTTTATTGTATTTCTATTTCATTTCATTTCTATTTCATTTCTATTTTATTATTTTATTTTATTTCATTTATTTTTTATTTATTTCTATTTTATTTTACTTTTTTTTTTTTTCTTAATTTTGCTAGCCGCCCGTCTTACCACAGGATAACCCTGGGCGGACTTTACTCAATTTAGTTGGTGCCCATCTTGCCGTTTATGTCATGAAATGCTCTGAAATGGTATGTAGGTTCTCCTGCCTGAGCAGGGGGGGTTGGACTAGATGACCTCCAAGGTCCCTTCCAACTCTTGTCATTCTGCTCTGTGTGTCATGAACGATGCGATTCGTATCCTGTCTTTCTCCGAAAATTCAGTTAGCCTACAGAGCGTTTAGCTTTTCTGAGACCCGCTGTGAGTTGCATAGAAACTAGGACTGACTTGTAACCTGGCCTTGAGGTAAACAATTCCACAAAGGTGCATGTAAGTCATTGTGGATTCTGCATCACCGCCCTAACCCTTCAAATCAAATTGCAGGAGGCCGCAGGAGGCGTTAATGCAATGATAAAATGTTCTCCAAGCGCCCCACGCAAGGAAACGGTTCCCTTCCCTCCAGAACAAATATTGCTTCCTATTGTTGTATAAATGTCCTATACTTCCCATTGCTGCTTCAGCTGCGGATGGAAAGCTCTGTTGCTTTACAACAACGGCAAGCTAAAGATGAATGTGATTAAGGGGGCAACAACATACGGTCTAATCTGTTTTTCAAGTGGCATTCAGTTCTGGTAATCTGGTTTGGAGACTGTACCTGCTCCAAAGATTTAATCCTTTCTAAATGCTGGCTGGGTTCCTGGGTAACTGACCTTTTTCTTTAAAAAAAAAAAAAACCACACAAAACTTTGCTGCAGATCTGTTTTGTTGGAAAGTTTTAGATTCATCCCCCCAAAAGCAAGGAATTAGGGATGACCGTTCCCTACAGAAGTGAGTTATAGCAGCGGTTCTCAACCTATGGGTCGCGACCCCATTTGGGGTCGATCGACCATTTCACGGGGGTCGCTAAGCAAGGCTGTCCGCCATTTTTTCCCCCTTTTCCGGCGGGTGCCTTGCCTCCCTTGAGCTGGGCCAGCTGGTGGTCGGCCTGCTCTGTCTCTGCTGCTTGCCAGCTACGCCTCGGCCGGCGCAGGGGGCGGAACCACGCATGCGCGGCGCTCCCGGGCAGGGAAAGTCCTCGGCGTACGACCGGTTGGGTAGTCCTCGACTTACGACCAGTTTAGTCCTCGACTTACGACCGGTTTAGTTTTCAACTTACGACCGGTTGGGGGTTGCGGCATTAAAAAGGTTGAGAACCACTGAGTTATAGGAATATGCTGGGAATTATCAGGCTTCTAGATGGCTTAGGAATGCAGTATATAAACAAGGGACAGAATAAGTGTCTATGGAGACGCTCAATCATCCAGGTCACGTTTGTCCCAAAGTTGCTTTTTTTCAAAAGGCAATTGGATTTCCTTGTTGTTGTTGTTTTCCTTTGAAGACATTTCCTCTTCTCATCTAAGGAGCTGCTTCAGCTCCCAAAAAGAGAACTGAAGAAGTTTCTTGAATGTGCAGTGAAATTTTTTCAAAAGAAAAAAAAACAAAACACCCCAAGAAAGTCCAGTTACCTTTTGAAAAAAACAAACAGACAATTATGCAGCTTAGGTAAATAAATAATTAGGTTTTCAAAGCTCAATGCTATATTTTTTACTGCTATCTAATCCTTTAACTATTTTTTTAAAATTTGTTTTATAACCGCTAAGCTGCCCCAGAGTCAGCTTGTAGGGTAGATGGGTAGCAAAATTAATTAATTGTTTAATGTACGGTACATTTCTTCCTTGCCACCTTTGTTAGTTTGTAACAGAATTTGAGTGTTAACATTCATTTATTGTAACGCTTTAATGTTTTGTCTTGTTTTAATTGGTTGTAATAAAAGCAGCAAATAAAATTCATAATAGGTAGGTAGGTAGGTAGGTAGGTAGATGATAGATAGATAGATAGATAGATAGATAGATAGATAGATAGATAGATAGATAGATAGATAGATAGATAGATAGATAGATAGATGATAGATGATATAGATATAGATGATAGATAGATGGATAGATAGATAGATGATAGACAGATAATAGATAGATAATAGATAGAAGATAGATAGATAGATAGATAGATAGATAGATAGATAATACATAGATGATAGATAAGAGAGAGAGAGAGAGAGATAAATAGACAGACAGACAGACAGACAGACACAGATAGATAGATAGATAGATAGAAGGATGATAGGTGATAGATAGATAGATAGATAGATAGATAGATAGATAGATAGATGATAGATAGATAGATAGATAGATGATAGATAGATGGATAGATAGATAGATGATAGATAGATGATAGTTAGACAGATAATACATAGATAATAGATAGATGATAGATAGATAATACATAGATGATAGATAATAGATAGATAGATAGATAGATAGATAGATAGATAGATAGATAGATAGATAGATAGATAGATGATAGATAGATAGATAGATAGATAGATAGATAGATAGATAGTAAGCTGCCTAGCATCACCTCTGGGCAAATGGGTAGCATCTAAGTTTAATAAGCAATAACAATAAATAATAATAATTTCTCTTTCAAACTTGCGGTGCCACTCGGTCGCAGCTTTTACCAACAACCCTCGTGCTTGTTTTGTGTTTTTGCAGAACAAGATCATTTTAGATCCCATGACGTTCAGCGAAGCCCGGTTTCGGCCCTCCCTTGAAGAGCGATTGGAGAGCATCATCAGTGGGGCTGCCCTCATGGCCGACTCGTCCTGCACCCGCGACGACCGTCGGGAGAGAATTGTGGCCGAGTGTAACGCGGTGAGACAGGCCCTGCAGGATTTGCTGACCGAATACATGAACAACGTAAGTGGCCTCCGCTTCTTCTTCTTCTCTCTTCTCCCTCTCTCGAATGGCAACACGATCTCGCGGGCTCGGTTGACGGCATCTAACCTAGGCGAGACCTCGGCAGCCCCCAAAAGTGGTCCACTAAAATAACGTAGGGAATGCAACCTCTGGAACCCTTTGAAGTGTGAAACCATGGAAGGTTCGTTGTGGAGTTTGATGCTCAATGAAATGGGAACTTGTGGGAACTTGTGACTTTCTTGGTAGAATGGGATACGTCTTTTAATACAGGGGTCCCCAACCCCCGGTCCATGGATCGGTACGGGGCCGTGACACGCCCGCAACCGGTCCGCAGAAACAAGCAAAGTCCCATCCGTGGGATGCAGGCAGCACACAAAACCATGCACCCTCTGGTACGTGGAAAAACCTCTCCACGGAACCGGTCCCTGGTGCCCGAAAGGTTGGGGACCTCTGTTTTAATACATACATCTTCAATAGTGGCACGTTGTTTTCGCCATTTTTTTTTAAATTTAATTATCCCTCCAGAAGATCAATAACTTACGAAATAATAGAAAATACTTGTAGCTCGGGTTTTTAGATTTGGGCTGTGGTTTGTTCTCCAAGCTTGTTTTCTTTTGTTTTTTTATTTTTGTTCTCCAAAATCCCTAAGCTCAAACCCCATTGATGATAAACAACACCAATTCGACTAGGAAGGAACAAAAGTTGTGGGGCATGCCAACATCCACCACACTCGTGAGTTTATTGAGGGTTGATATCCCACCAAAGGAGCAATAAACGGGCATATCGGTCTAGATCAAGGGTCTTCAAACTTGGCCCTTTTATGACTTGTGGACTTCAACTCCCAGAATTCCTCAGCCAGGCACACTGACTGAGGAAATCTGGGAGTTGAAGTCCACAAGTCATCAAAGGGCCAAGTTTGAAGACCCTACTTGTGGACTTCAACTCCCAGAATTCCTCAATCAGGCATGCTGGCTGAGGAATTCTGGGTGTTGAAGTCCACAAACAATCAAAGAGCCAAGTTTGAAGACCCTTTGTGGACTTCAACTCCCAGAATTCCTCAGTCAGGCACACTGCCTGAGGAATTCTGGGAGTTGTAGTCCACAAGTCTTAAAAGGGCCAAGTTTGAAGACCCCTGATCTAGATCCAGCATATCAATATGTAAGAAACCAGACCATTCAAAGTGTCAATCAGCAAGGGGACCAATCAGCCGCTCAGAATTCAAATATAGCTCCAACCAACCAACCAATCACAGGGCCAACTGACCCAACTGGCACACAAGACGTTTATGCGGTAAGGAGAATACGACAAGAAAATCCTGCTGCTGATGTTACCTAGTTTGGTGACGAAACGTTCAGAAACTATATTGAAACAAACACGGTGAACAAACCACAGCCAAAATCAATAACTTATTTTATCCCATTGTATATAGCAGGGGTCTTCAAACTTGGCCACTTTAAGACTTGTGGACTTCAACTCCCAGAATCCCCCGGTCAGCAGGGGAGTTGAAGTCCACAGGTCTTAAAGTGGCCGGGTTTGGAGACTCACCTGATATACAACACATAATAATAGGATAAAATTGAAATAGAGCTACAGATTGTAAGGTGTAAAACTCAGGTAAAATTACCTTTCCCCCCTGTAGTTTGAGACCCAATTTACTTCTTTTCTTAACTGCTGGAACAAATGTTGGAATCTCTTGGCTGATTTGTGTGGGAAGAAGTAGTGAAATCCATCAGGAAAGTTAGGTGCTTGTTAAAGGTGTAATGCAGGGCTCTTCAAACTTGGCCACTTTAAGACTTGTGGACTTCAACTCCCAGAATTCCTCAGCCAGCCCTGAGGGCTGGCTGAGGAATTCTGGGAGTTGAAGTCCACAAGTCTTAAAGTGGCCAAGTTTGAAGAGCCCTGGTGTTATGTGAGTCATTAAGAAAGTGTGTCTTGTGTGGGCTTTCTACAGCTGTTGCGTCGCTATCTTTATGGCTGTGCTTACAACGAAATCTTTAAAATATATTACCACAGTTAAAATGTCCAAGCACAGAAAACAGAAGTTGAGTAGCACAACAGACATTGCTATATAAAGACTTCCGGTATTGAAAATATCTCTAAATCTGAACCATAAAGGAATTGCTTAGCCAAACACAACTGCATCGGTGTTGACCGTTTTGAAGTGCACAACACAAAGGCCTCCGGAACATTTTGTGTAATTTCCTAGCTCGTTGTCGACAACAGAATTCGTATTGGTGTACTTGAAATTAATAGCGGATTATTCGTTTTCGCTTTTTAGAAGATAACATTAATTCTTTTGGATATTTCCAGACGTGTGTTTGTGGCGAATTTTTTGAAAAGGGGTCCATAACTGTATTCTTGAGTTGGGAGGGAGGGGGACAAAGGGTTCCTTCTTAAAAGTTGGAGAAGATTTGACAAGTTTAAGGAAACGAGAATGAATCGCAAACGGATCTTTTTGAAGATTTCCAGCATCCTAAACGTGATTTAAAGTTTTATTAAAAAAAAAAAGAAAGAAAGATGTGATATAGCTGATCTTTCCTATGAAAATCAATAAAGCACTCCTTAACACAATAACTCAACTTAACCTGAGATTTCCCATTTTTTTTTATTTTATCAATGAAGGCAACTTTCGGTTGAATGGCATTGAATAGCTTTGAGTGTTCGGTCAAATGGATCGGACTTCTTTCTTTCCCAAGTGGAACATTAAAAGAGTCTCAAATCGGCTTGCAATGTTTTCTGACTTGACGGTCAAGATGTCTGAATGCAGATGTCAAGAAAAGGTGGAGGTGGCTTGGTTTTAAAATAAAAGTTGTAAAGCAGGGAATTGAACTGGCTGTCTTCACAGTCTTTTTTCTAGACTGAGTGCAAACTCTAAAATGGATTTTCAGTAGACTGCTGGTAAGGTTTATTTGTTCTTTCTTTCTTTCTTTCTTTCTT